ATAAAAATGGTTGCAGTTCCTATAATTTGTACTTAATGTTTATGTTCAACCCCTTGAATTAAAGATGAAAGTCTGCACTTCAGATTCATTTGGATTGTTTCATTTTAATTTATTCTGGTGGCATACAGAGCCAAAAGTATGAAAATTGTACCTGTGTTCAAATATATATGGACCTAACTGTATATCTATATGACACAGACTTAGGTTGGTTCTGGATGAAGCATGAAGGGATCGGTGCTTAATGTATTTTTGTAAACTCAAACCTCTACTTTTTGTTTTGGATAAAGTAGGAATTGATTAAAACCTGTGGTAATTGTTTTATTTTGTGTTTTATTCAGGGGCGGACTGACAACTCATGGGGCCCCCGGGCAATAGGGGATCATGGGGCCCCTATGTCCTTGCCCACACTCAAAAAAAGCCTATAAAAAAGGGGCATTTAATGGGGCCCCCTACTAATCCCGGGCCCTCGGGCAGTGCCCGAGTGCTTGAATGGTCAGTCCGCCCCTGGTTTTATTATTCCTACTGCAGAGATTTACTTTAAAATTCCTGCCCAAATGCACAACAGGAAGTGAGAGGAAGAGTTTACTCTAAAGCTGGGTACACACTATAAGAAATGGTCATCCGGTTTTACTTGATGTTCCACAGCAAATTGAACCCGAGGATGGTATTAGTTGTACAAAAATTCTCGAACGACAAATGCTTTTTTTTGTTTGACGTAGAAACATGTAGTGTAGACTATCATTGTTTATTCTTTCTGATCAGCAGACTTTCGTATCTGATTTTTTCCTGTACGAAACCAGTACACACTGAGTGAAAATCAGATGTGTTCACGTACGAGAAAAATTTTGGAGTTTGTCTCTTAAGAAATTTTTCTTTGGAAAGTCTGAATTGGATGTTGAAAGTTGTGTACACACATTCAGAAAATCGTATGATCGTATGAATTGTATTTTCCATAAAAGGGACAATCCTACAATTGACCAACTCCAAAGTTGACAGAACTAATGATTTAATGTGTGCTGTTTTCGGATGAGAAAAATCAGACTGCACATGATCAGAAACAATAAACAACAATATCATCTAATACAGAATTTCTACGCCAAACAAAAAAAAAAGTCTTTGTCATTTGAGAATATGTGTACAATTAGTATCGCCCTCTGGTGCGACATGCTGTGAACAGTGTGTACCAAGCTTAAGACAGTTGGCACCAGAACAGCTGTTCCTGTTGAATTTTCACCTGTAATCTGGCTCATGTGACATCTGTAAAATTTTGGATTACCCATCACTTTGTGTTCCAGTGACAACGTTGACAACATTGACCAAGTCAAATAGAGATGGTGAATCCCTTCAGTTTACAATTTGTAAAATGTTTATTTTTTTTAGTTTATGCGTAGCATGGGAATAGATTGGCAACTCTGCCAAGTTTTTATTGAACATTAGTGTCACTACTAAGAAGATTCACACCGCTATTTGTGAGCGGAGCCATTGGCAAAGGGTTTCAGAAAGTACCCTTTTGCCAGATCTGGAGCCCATCAGGATAGCAGAGTCTGGCAGTACTGCTCTGTGTGGTGCACCTCCTTCTTTCTCATTGCTGGGACAAATGTGATACTCTATCCAGGATAGTCTCCACAGATTAAGAGTGAACTATGGTGTATTGAAATGTAAAAACCTGCACTACACTATATAATAAGAATGAGCTGAGTGCTTAGTGATCTGCTTTTCCCGTGGGTATCCGGATGGTTTGTCTGCAGGTGTTGGAGGGTTGTGAGTCTGGAGGTGTATGATAGATCGTGTATCTGTTGGTGTCTGTAAGGTTATGTGTCTGTGGGTCTTAGAGGGTGGCCATGTGTTGGAGGTTGGTAATGTGTTGGAGGTTGGTTATGTGTCAGTTGGCTTCTGGAAGGTTGTGTATCTGCAGTTGTCTGGAATGTTGTATGTTTGTGGATGGTTCTGTGTCTAAGGGTGTCTGGTGTGTTGTTTGTCTGTTGGTGTCTCAAAGGTTGTGTGTCTGCAGGTGCTTGGAAGGCTGTGTGTGTTTTGAGTGTTGGAAGGTTATGTGTCTGTGGGTGTCTGGAACATTGTGTGTCTGTGAGGTTTGGAAGGTTATGTGTCTTTGGGTGACTGGAAGGTTGTTTGTCTGTGATTGTCTGGAAGTTGTGTGTTTGTTGGTGTTGGAAGGTTGTAAATTTGTGGGTGTCTGGAAGGTTGTGTGTCTGTGAGGGTTGAAAGGTTGTGCATCTGTGAGGGCTGGAAGGTTGTGTGTCCGCAGATGTCTGGAAGTTTGTCTATTGGTGTTGGAAGGCTTTGTATCTGTGTGTGCCTGAAATATTGTTTGTGTGTGTCTGAAATGTTGCTTGTCTGTGGAAGTTGGAAGGTCATATGTCTGTTGGAAGCTTGTGTGTCTGGGGAGACACTGGGATTGGGGGTGGAGACAAAGTGTATGGGGATACACAGCAGGTAGGCTGTACAGGGCCCCATGACATCTAATGGTGGTCCTATTTGGGACCATCCACATGGAAACAGAAAATTATGATAAATCCTACATTTTTGAGATGTCATGAGGACATGGGAGGGGCAACCTTTCATTGAGGACACCAGCTTTGGTAACAGTTTTCTGCAATGGGAGTTCCCCTCATTTTGTGGAGATTTTTTTTAATTCTTCCATTCTCTACCCAAAACTAATAATAATAATAATAAAAAAAAAAAAAAAATTAAAAAAGCTTCAAGTGTTTAGATCAATAGTCTTTAAACTGTGACCCGTGGGTTAGATACTGTCCTTTGCTTTTCTTTATCCAGCCATTGAGGCTCTATTCCTCTCACTGACAATAATGATTAGGCACAACCAACAGTGAGGCATAATTTCTGCTATTGACAGCATTCATGGATCACTATTCGTCCCACTGACACTAACAAAGGGGCACTATTCCTCCTACTGACACAAACGACAGAGCATTATTTCTTCCATTGACACCAACAGTGGGCACTATTCCCTCCACTGACACCAGCGATGGGGCACTATTCCTCCCATTACTACAAATGAGTACCAACCACAGGGTCTATGGAATTTTTTTACTCCCACTGACCTCCAAGCCTGAGGCATTGTTTACTCCCAGTGACGTTGGGGCATTTTCTATCACCAGCCAGCCTAAACTTTAAAGGACTGTAAGCTGGCCCTTTGTTTGGAAATTTTGGAGACCCTTGGTTTAGATGATGGCAATATCTGTTTCCTGCTAGGGTTAAAGTGAGGCACCAGACAAAACCTTTTTTCTCTTTTAAAAGAAGAGAGAAACTTTGTCAGGTTTCCTGAATCCAATACTAATTTAGCATTGTAAAAGCTGGTAATGATCAGCAAATGGTTTATTGCCTCTTTTATATACAGTAAGTCCTATTGAAAATTAATGTCAGATTTATAAATGCAGCCATATGGCACCCTGACAGAATTAAAAACTGACTTGTTTCACAAATATATAAATGAATGATGTACTATTACAGAATTTACACAAAAATATACCTTGGTTGAAGTTTCTGCATAGTTTATGTTGTTTTGAGTAATAATTAGCTATATATTTCAGGTTCTGTCTTTTGAAGCATATTTTGAAGAAGACGTTCCTCAGAGACAAGAAGAAACCTTCCGCATCAGGCAGTGTAAAATCTATTTCTATCTTGAAGATGACACAATTCAAGCAGTGGAGCCAGAAATAAAAAACAGCGGAATTACACAGGGTATGTACAGTTTCAATTCATACTAAACTACACTTTCAAGGTATGGTCACAAACTGTTAAAGCTCCATTCACACTAGTGCCATTTCAGATGCGGCTTAAGTGGCCCTGCATGACAATGGAAGTTACATTGTTTTTATTGGTGCCTGTTCACATCAATTTGGACTCAGCACAGTGGGGTTTATTTACTAAAGCTGGTTCACTTAGAATCTTTGTGCACTTCTGCATAGAAACCAATCAGCTTCCAGGTTTTATTGCTAAATCAGCTTAATTGAACAAGCTGAGGTTAGAAACTGACTTGCTACCATGCACAGGTGCATGAGATTCTGGGTGAACCAGCTTTAGTAAATAAACCCCAGTGTGATTTTAGAAAAGGTTCCTGTACTGGTGCGATTCCAGACCTTATCAAAGTTGCATCCAAGTCGCGCAACATAATCGCACTGAAAATAGGATCGATGTTGGATTGCAGCAGTGTGAACCTAGCTTACTCATACAGTTTTTTGAAAATGTGCCTTTAAAAAAATATTTCTGTTTTTGCATCAATGTATTTTGAAGTGCAAGATCTATTTTTCAAAACGAAAGCTAATCAAAAGAGGCGATTGGGATTTTGTTTATTCTGTAATCACAGCGTATAAAGTAGTCTTCTTCCTTACCAGCATATCTGGTATCCCAACATTTTATCCATACAAAACTGAAGGGTGTCTTGCCATGTTCTTTATCATCATGTCATATTTCCAAATGCAGCTGCCATTTTGATAAAAAAATATGCATAGTACAATGGTTTTGTAGACATGTAATAATTTCTTAAAGGATAAGTTCACCTTTCGTAACATGTTACATGTTACACCCATATTCAGGAAGTAACATGTTATGATTTGACCGGCCCCTGTTCCCCGCTTTGACAGCTAGCAAGCTAGCAGGGGATCTTCTCCCCCCTTGCTAGCTGTCAATTTTTTTAAAAACATGGCTGTGCGGGGCCCTGCCCACCCAGCCGCTTCACTCATTCACAGCATTCTGTGAATGAAAGACTACAAGTCCCAACAGCCTTAGCGCCTGTCAGCTTGTAGTACTCAATGAACTACGACCATGCTGTGAAGTGCCGTGGTAGTTCATGCATTCTTCCTGTCAGTATATCTGCTTGCTTGTACATCCCGTATGGCAAGCTGATATACTGACAGATCTACAGGAGACCTGCATGGCATAAGCGATCTGCTGTTTGCTGGTGAAATGGTTTCCAGGATCCTGCAGACAAAAATAAGAAATGCACATTTACCTGCAAAAAAATGTGCATTTATTATTTTTTTCTAAAAGGTGAACTTATCCTCTAAACTGAACTCCATGCAAACACCTAAACATCTTGTTGTGATAAATATATGGGAGCAGTGGCGGACTGACCATTTGGAAACTCGGGCACTGTCCGAGGGCCCAGGGTCAGTAGGGGGCCCCATGAGATGCCCTTGGTACCTTTTTCATAGGCTTTTTTGAGTTTAGGCAAGGACACAGGGGCCCCATGATTGCCTATTGCCCGGGGGCCCCATGATGTTGTCAGTCCGCCCCTGTATGGGAGCTACTTCACTTGCATTTGTATTTCTGTCCATACTATCCTGAGATTAATACAGCCCTGCCACAGAGCAAATCTCATTCGGTGACCTGACTTTTTTCTGAGTCCACCTTTTACACCATGTTATATGTTGCACCTATATTTTTTATTTTATTTATATACAATGCTATGATCTGATTAATTTTATCTTATATGCTAATGCAGCAAAAGAGCTGCAGCACAGGCAAAATAGAAGTAAATTGCATGCACTAATTTTAGGATGTGAGAAACGTAACGGTATATTAACATTTATAGGTAGTAACACCAGAGATTATTGATCCAGGGAATATCAGATTGTCTTTGGGGGATCAGGAAGAATCAAAGGAATGTTGTTTTGCTGCACACTTGAGTAAATTGGGCCATGCTTTATATAAGCTTTTTTTTTTATGTCTTCCTCTGGATCAACTTTGGATATAGGGTTTTGTATATGGAGGTTCTCTATTTATTTATTTTTTTGTTTATTGGTTGAACTAGATGGACCTTTATCTAGTTCCAAGTATTAACTAGACACATATGACTACATAAACAATCTATCATACATTCATAGGGGGAATGGAGAAATAAAATATCTGGTAAGTTTGTTAAAACTTTTCTTTTCAATAAAGGAACAATAATCAGACGCCATCGAATTCCACTTCCGCCTCCCAATGATGACCAATTTTATACCGTGGATCATTTTAACATCAATAAAGATATTGTGTTTTATTCAAGAACTTTCAGAATTGTAAACTGTGATGAGTTCACCAGAAACTTTTTAAGAAAACTTGGAGTCAGAATAAATACACCAGACTCTACTCCACCAGACCCATACTGCACAATGCGCAAACAGGTAAAGTTCCCTGCTTTTCTTTGTCTTGGTTGTTAGAGTAGAGATGAACTCCCACCTTGTTTTGCTTTGCTGCATTTTCCTAGAAAACACTTTTGTATCTTTGATGAATTTTAGTTAAAGTGGTGTAAACTTCAGTTGTGAAATATAAACAAAGCACATCCTATCGTATGTGCTTGTCTCAATTCAGAACACTAAGCGGGTTTATTTACTAAAGCTGGAGAGTCCAAAATCAGACTCCCTTCTGCATAGAAACCAATCAGCTTCCAGGTTTCATTGCCAAAGCTTCATTGAACAAGCTGAGGTTAGAAGCTGATTGGTTTCTATGCAGAAGGGAGTCTGATTTTGGACTCTCCAGCTTTAGTAAATAAACCCCTAAGTGTCATTTCTCTCTGCTACCTCCTTCCTCTGCTATCAGCTTGAATCACTTCCCACACCTTTTCCGGATACTAAAAGGTAAAAAGGTGACAGGGGAGAGACCTACAGCACACAGCCTGTGATTGACAGCCGCAGCTCTGTGTGCTGGTTAAAGGAGGTGTGTCTTTTTTCCTCCAATCTGCTCTCAAAGCTCTTCTCCCTGAGCTCTGCAGAATGAATGTTCAGCTCCCCATCCCCTGCTTCTGTAAGCTCAGACAAGATGTAAAATTCTTTTACTACTTTGAATGGCTTTAGAGAAGAGAAGACTTCAGATAAACAAGTACAACCATTGTAGGAGAGTTTGTTTCATCTCTGTGTATCACCTGAGGATAGCCACTTTACAGGTTATATGTAAGGGTTTACAACCACTTTAAAGATTTGCCCAGGTCTGCTTTTTAATGTAATTGTATTTCCAAATCCTATTTAAAGAAGATAGTAAGTTTAATCCTGGTTATTACATTTTATAGCATAATTTTTTTAAAGGGTGCATTGTGACTCATTTCCTCTTTTAACCTAACTCTAAATCTGAAAAACGCCAAAGAAAGATTTGATTATACCAAGGTGATGTTATTAACTTTCTTACAAGAATTTTCCTTCTGGTCTTATGATGCTTTCCAGTGCTGGCCATACGCTTTTAGATTTTAAAACAAATGTTCATGCATTTGTGCAAAGGTTCTCATCAATACATGATAAATGGCATTTAAAAAATGTTTGCTTTTAACATTGATTTTTGGAGTGAATGGACTTTTCCAAATGAAAACCACATTCACTGTTAGAAATTAGTTTGTTTGAAAAAATAATGCCATCCTGGTCCTTTTAATTTTCTCAACACTGTGGTCAATGTCAATGTCTATTTGATCTGACTAATGATTAGAAAATACCACAAATGTTCAAACAAGATTCTGCTAGTTTATGGCCAGCTTAAGTTTTTAGCCCGTATGTATGGCTGAGTAGGAGCGTCAATTTTTCATGACATGCAGTGAGGGTAGACATCCTGTTCTTAGGAAATTACTAGCTGTCAGTATTAGACATGGTGTTGACATCCAGGAAAGGGAAATGTAAATAGAAAGTGGAATGAAGGGAGCATTTTGAGGGTTACAACTTTTAGGGCACACTACTTGTATAGTTACACGTATGTGTTTTTTAAATTGTATCTTGACATTGGATTCCACTTTAAAGTGATACTAAACCCAGGACCCTGCATTCACTACTGTGGTCTCCCACAGTAAACACAACATGGAAATGCAATTATTTTAGTAAATATAAACTGCTAAATACCTTTTCTTATCAGCTATTAGAGCAGTCTTGTGACTTCAGCAGAGCACGGGTTAAAGCTTGTAGGAGGTTTCTTTCTGTTTTAGGAGGATTTGAAACCCCTGACTCTCTGTTTGAACAGTGCTGATTGGCCCTGTGCTGATCACATGCACTCTACCAAGAAAAAAAAAACCTCTCTAGCAATACGCACCAAACTGAGCATGTGCATGTGACTACAGATTCAGTCTGTATCAGGTGGTCATTTCAACAAGAGGAAGGGCAGAGAAGACAGAATCAAACTTCCTTTTTACACAATGCAGATGATTAACCCCTTAGGTTCCACAGTGAGTATAACAAGCATGCTTTACTGCATATACAGACTGATTTTACTGTTGTGGGTTTAGTAACATTTTAAGGATCATGTATGCATTAGGATGCATGCACTAAGTTTGATAGCTGTCTTTTTAACCTGCTTTCACCTCTGTGATGAACAGAGGTTACTGCAATGAACACTACATATCACCGCAAATCAGCAGAAAAAAATGTCACAGAACTGCATTCCTGACCCACAGTAAAACCTGCAGTAATCTCAATTTATCAAAGAGATGAATGGAGGCCTGCAGACAGCTGCTGACAACTGTCAAAGTAATAGCAGTACTGCTGGCTTTAAGATCCCATATCCCCACAGCAGTGTACTGGATATGCACCCTTAGAGGTAAATTGGTTGAGATAAATTCTGTTGCTGTACAAAAAGTATAGAAGTTAAGAGATCAAAAAATATGTATAGCTGTGTGTAAATTCTAAACAGAACAGAAATAATTAATTTAAATAATAAACTGAATTTTACATCCTCAAGAATAACCAAAATAACTATTAAACGAAACAATAAAGGCAGAAACCTAGAGCAATAATGAACCAAGACAACAACAGGTCCATACATTATAACGTTTTGTTAAATAAGTGTTTTTCTGTAAATAGAAACTATTTTCTGAAATGTCTAAGGTCCATGTATCATATGCTTCTGAGTTTACAGATGCAAGATCAGATGATTTCACATCAAATGACATGATTTCTATACTTAGGCGTTTGGTGGAGACTTGCTATGATTGTAATTTGTAATTAATCAACCCCACTAAACACTATTTGCACCTATAGTGACCACATAACATAACAAGAATAGAAAGACAAAAGTGGACAAAATGAATGATTAATATTTTCACAGTTATCTAGGCCAGGGGCGGACTGATCATTTGGAAACTCGGGCACTGCCCGAGGGCCCGGGGTCAGTAGAGGGCCCCGTGAGATGCCTGGTACCTTTTTCATAGGCTTTTTTGAGTTTGGGCAAGGACACAGGAGCCCCATGATCCCCTATTTCCCAGGGGCCCCATGAGTTGTCAGTCCGCCCCTGATCTAGGCCATAGCTCCCAACTTTCCAAGGTAAGAAAGAGGACTTCTTTTTATAAGGTATCTAGGCATATAGGCAAAGGACACACTTCTGAAACACTCACAGTTGTCACAAATAATGAATACCCCCAAAAACTGGTTACAGTGGAACTAAACCCTCCTATACTTTAAAGTCAAGGATGTTGCTATCGTAGCCACTGTTTGATCTGCAATTGCCATGGTACTGCACAGGATCAGCTATGAAACCAGCCAATTGATAGTTTGGTAGAGAGCAGAAGCAAATGTTACACTTATCATTCATGGCATGCCTTGCATGTAACAGTTTTGGGAAACAGCTAAATTGGTGGGTTTATTTTTCCTTTAAATCCACAAATGCATTTTTCATCACTTATTAAATTCTATATTGATCTTTCAAATCAACAAATGCAAACATTTAGAGGTTGATTGAAAGGTTTTGGGTAGTATAACCCTTTTGGTAGATACATAATAATAAATACTGCAGTTTTATATATCAGAGCAAAAAGAGGGACATTTGAGAAGGAAAGATGGGCAAGGGAATTGGATTTCTAAAAGTGGAACAGACCCTTTAAATGAGAGACAATCAGTGGTAGGATCTAGGCTGCATCTAGAAACCCCACCATCCCCAACATGGCTGTCATAGCCAGAGCCTTCCTTTCCAAGTAATCAACTACCAAAGCAAGTTATCTCTATATGTCTCCATAGAGGCCTCACAAGAAAGCATTGGACACAGAAATCTTGTATAATTTTCTATCTCGTAGGGGGCGGTAACACGTTTCAAAGCGAAATCCTTTGTTATGTCAAAGGAGAATTTCCCTTTGAAACGCGTTACCACCCCCTACACCCCGCCCACCTCTCCCAGGCACACACGGGAATCACCACAAGGTTGATTACAGCGTTCTAAAGCGCTGAGATCCGGCCAGTCATTGACAGCTGTCAGACCAA